CAGCTCTGCACCTCTTATATTCAATGTATGCATGCATGGTTCCCTTTCTGATAAACCTCTTTTGTGCTTTCTTTCTATTTGTTATCGCTTCTTCACATTCCCCGTCCCACCATTTAACTGGGAGGGATCTTTTTCTTTTTATTTTATTATTTTTGTATTCTTTCTCCTTGCCTCTTCTCCTTGGAGTGATCTCTTCTATAGCCATTTTCATGCTTTCACATAGTAAATTGTATCTTATCCGTATGTCCCTATCTCCTGAATCCAACCTTAACTCTTTCCTTGCCTTTTCCCAGATTTCCGTAACCTTTCTTCTATAATTATCCCATTTCGTTTTTCTTGATGAAATTCTGTTTGTCTTTTTGATGTAATTTGTGATTTCAAAATCCATTTCCATTATTATTGGATAGTGGTCCGAACCCCACGAGTCCAGCAATTGGTATTCTTATATTGTCTAGATCCTCCGATGATCCTAGTATTAAGTCTAGATTGTTAGAGATTTGATCTACCATTCCCATTCTGGATTTTGTATCTTCGTTATAACATATCAAATCCTTTTCATTCATTATCTCGCTTATATTTTCACCATTTCTATCTGTATCTCCGCAGTTCCATATAGTATTATATGCGTTAAAGTCTCCAACATAATATGTTTTATGTGTATTTCCGTTGTTAGTGAGTATTTTCCGCCATATGGGTTTGTCCAATCTAGTACCTGGTCTCCTATATACCGCGACTATGTTAACTTTTCCTGAAACATTCTTTATCGTAATACCTAACCTTTCTACTGACTCGTGTATATCCTCTTGGCACTTTAGAACCTCAAATTCTAGTCTGTTGTGTATCACAATAGCTATTCCTCCCTTATTATCAAGGTTATTCGATCGATATGTTTTATATCCTGAAAAATAGATTGGAACATTTTTTGGCTGTTTAGTTTCAGTTATAACCGCGATGTCATAATTTCTTATTCTCATGGCCAATTCTTTTTTATTTCTAATCCCTCTACAGTTCCATAATAATATTGTAACTGGGGCCATTGTGTATAGATAAGATAAAGTAATTAGTTAGATACTTTTATAAAAGAATTTGCTATAGGTATATAAAAATTTTCGTAATGGCCTTTCTTGTAAAACAACGAAAATAAAATAAAATAAAATAAAGAAAATAAAAAGCAACTATAAGTAAATCATAACCAAAAATGCTAAAAACTAATGTATTATAACCCTACTTATATTATTCCTTCATCAGTCTTATAAGTTGGCTGTAATTCTATTAATAGTGAGAAACATAACGATTATGAACTATTCACTTTTCTTCTTGTTATTCTTATTGTCTAATATTCACTTAGTTTTAATTATTATATTTTATGCATAATCTAAATCTTACTAATCTTATATTAAACTATAAAATAACAATAAACGGAACTTAATCTAAGTCTTGGATTTTAACTTAAATACTATAATATATCTATTAGTCTATTCGTTGTCCTTCCAAAAATCCTGTCTCATTTTCTCTACTATTCTATTCTTTCTATATTTTCTTTCTTCCCTGTATATCCTATTTCTATCCCGTTGGATATCCTTCTGGTGTTATTCCTTGTCTTGCTCTCTGTTCATCTGATCTCCATCCCAACCTTTGTCTCGTCTAAGCTCGTCTAATGCCTGATCCAAGAAGGATTTCAAATCCCAGTCCTTCTCCACTGCAACCAACAATCTGGCTATAAATTCCTTTCTTTTTTCATTCTCTGTAATCAATGCCTTCTCTGTTGAATATCCTTCCTGGTCTTTGTCAGCTAAGTTTCCTTCCTTATCCTGTATTAGTGCGATTCCTCTCTTTCCCTTGGTGATTTCTCCTTCTCTTGTATTAAACTGTGCATAGTAGTTAGTTCTCGTTGTAGGTGCCTTTGTCTTCCTTCCTCCATCCTCTCTCTTCTTTTCCTGCCTTATAAACCCAGAGTTGTCGGGAGAAAGATAGGGCGGGTCATCGCTACTTGTATCACCAGCATTCCTTGCTTCTCCTTTCTTTCCTTTTCCTTTTCTACTATTTACTTTGCTAATCACTTTGTCTCTGTATAGAGGTTTCTGCCTCTGACTTGTCTTCTGTCCTAGTTTGCTAAGGAGCGGCCAATTATTCGGCTTTTCATATCTGTCATAAACTTCCGTAGGACCTTCATCACTACCTTCTAGAATTTCGATAGCTTCTCTATATGAAGCATTATTATAAGCCATCAAGCCTTTCTCGATCCTTTGATTTCTCACATCACCTCCTGTCTGTAGATTTGTGACTCTCACCGCAGTTGCGACACTTCGTTGGTTCGTCGCAGTGTCCATGCACTCTTTCACCACAGTTGATACAGCATTCTTCATTCTTACAATGTATCTTTCTATGGCCATACCTGAAGCACTTGTAACACTGCATTACTGGGGCCACGTATTTCTCCCGCGCTCTTCTCGAAAGAAAATATAGAGAAAACAGGATAGTAGAAAAAATGAGACAGGATTTTTGGAAGGATAATGAATAAT